GATGAGGTTTAGGTTAGCAGTTAGCATGAAGTTTAGGTTAGGAGTTAGGTGTAGGTTAGGGATTAGAATTAGTTTTTGGTTAGGAGTTAGTTTGAAGCTTAGTATAGGGGTTAGTATGGAGTTTAGGTAAGGGGTTACAATGGAGTTTAGGTTAGGGGTTAGGATGAGGTTTAGGTTAGGAATTAGGATGAGGTTTAAATCAGGGATTTAAGTTTAAGGTTTAAGTTAGGGGTTTTGGTGAGGTTTAGGGGTTAAGTTGATATTTAGGTTAGGGCTAGGATGAGGTTTAGGGGTTAGGATGAGTTTTAGGTTAGGGGTTAGGATGAGCTTAGGTTAGGTGTTAGAATGAGGTTTAGGTTAGGGGTTAGGATGAGGTTCAGGTTAGGGGTGAGGATGAGGTTTAGGTTAGGGGTGAGGATGAGGTTTAGGTTAGGAGTTAGAATGAGGTTTAGGTTAGGAGTTAAGATGAGATTTAGTTAGGGATTCGAATAAAATTAGGTTAGGGGTGAGGATCAGTTTTAGGTTAAGGTGTTAGGATGGGTTTTAAGTTAGGGGTTAGGATGTGGTGTAGGTTGGGGATTGGGATAAGTTTTAGGTTAGTGGTTAGGATGAGGTTTAGGTTAGGGGTTAGGTTTCTGATAAACAATTTCATTTCAAACTTCTGGGTATGACTATTGCCACAATGGAGCAACATACAGTATGTGCTATAAGCAGGAGGGTCCAATTCATACTGCCACCGAAAACTAAGGGCTTCTGCACAACATTTCCATTGAGCTGCACTTTTGTGCAGACCACCACACATGCGTGACCAGGGCAACAACTTGCGTGACCAGGGCAACAGGAAAACAACTGTTTGATGCATACATGTGCAGTGGTGTGCAGGAAATGCGACTCATGCGCACATGGCGTGAATAAACCCTTACCCATGCAAAATGTATAGGTGCTGAAACCTTTTGCAGCAGTGCAGATTTCCCTGCGCACGGTTTACTTCCTGTTGTATTGGCTAAACATGCCGTATTTCAGTCCGTATGCCAGTCTCTGCATAAAAATGAACATCTTGGTTTATAACAGAATATATTGCCATCAATGAGTTTTCTGTCACAGTACAGCTGAGGCAGCTAAATACAGTGGGCAGACTATGGTTCATTTAAAAAAACACTGACTTTTTATTCAATTCAGCAAGTTTCAGATGAGGTTCTCATAGACTGTAGAACTTAAGTACATTTTAGTGCTATCAAAACTAGAACACATTGACGTTTATCTTAAAGGCATCATTAAAATTCCGAAGCAGCTTACAGTGCGCTTGTTTTGCCATCACAGCTCAGAATTATATTAGGACACACTGAAAATGTTTTCTGCAAAGAAAGTTCTTTTAAACCACAGATTTATGCTTCTTTGAAGTCAACTTTTACTTTGCACACTGAGGGTTGGGCTCGGCTTGAAAAAGTCTAGATGACTTTAGAAACGGTAACCACGGCTGTTTCTCGTGCAACTTGCACAATGGACTAAAAAAAAAAAAGGTGGATGATTTAAAAACAGAACTTCAGTAAAAAATAACAAGATAAAAGGATACCATAAGGCACAAACATCAGTATAAACTCTGAAGTTTAGGAAGTTATCTCTGGGTAGGTTTGTCAATTTATTATGCAATTCATACATTTGTATGTGCCGGTTGCTATGTCTAGTGCTGTACCCGTACTCCCGGCGCTGCGACTTTGAGAGCTAAAGAAAATTGATGATGTCATTTGTCCGGCAGCCTCTTCCCCTTTTCCAATCTCAGTCCTCCATGTATTCTGTGAATAGATTACAACTTGGGTGTGCATATGCCACTTGTATATACTAATGGTAAAGGCAGAAATAAAATTCTCCCTGTCAGGGTTCGAATAGCAGGAAAGATTCAACCCTTTCCCACTTTACCTACAATAGAACAATCCATTTTATGTTGAGATGTTTGTTAAAGTGCATGTACAGCCTAATCTTTTTTTTTTTTTGTAGTTTTGGATAAAGTGAGAACCCAGAACCCAGGTCAAGTTTTATCAGACAAGAAGTGAGGGAAAATCTCCAACTGCAACACACAAAAAAATAAAAACAATAATAGTTAGAGAAGTCCAGAATCGTTGTCAACTTTGTATTGATGTCTATGTCCCTGTTTTAGGGAATCTCTCCATTGGAGCCCCAGATAGCAGTAAAAATTGACAGAGGTTCTAATTCTTCCACGCTCAATCAAAAACGAATGAAAAAGGTTTTTGCTGGACCTACACTTTAAGTCCACATTTACATTTGAACGTGAACATTTTCAGATGCTTTGAGCTTTTTTTGTGCGGTTTTTCAGGCTTCAACATTTTTGTGTTAGCTAATGGGAAGCTAGTTACTAGGAGGAGGAGATGCTTTCTAGGTGTTCCCATTAAAGTCTATGGGGCCACAAATGTACAATTCTCCCTGAAAAAAAGCTCCTGCACTTTTTCGCTCTACAATCAACAAGCGACACAACACTCAAATGTAACAAAAATGTATATTATTTGGGTATCACTCGGCTGTAGATCGTGAAATCATCTCTGAATTGTTGCTGACACTGTCCTTCCTTGTGGAGGGTGGATACGTTTGTTCCTCATGGTCCCTGTGTGACTTTTAGACTTTTTTTTACGTCTATACAAATGAGCTTACTAAATGTGAGATTGCAGTCCATCACAGGAGTAATCTCACGGGCTATTGCCCGAAGACTCGAACAGCCGATGTTCGAGTCGAACTGTTCGACTCGAACATCGAGCCCATCCCTAGATTTAACTCCTGAGATTAGTGTCACTTTACATTAACTTTGGAAGAATCAAGAGTTTCTTCTAAATTACATATTTACTCCTCCATTCCTTGTTTCGTAATTTTGGAAGGGACAGCTACACATTACTAAATAGATATCAAAACAAGAATTGTACTTTTTTTTGTTATTTTGGCTAAAAAGAATTTAAGTGATTTTCCATTGACTTTTCTAAATCAGATGTTAGCAAATCTGGCCAAGCATCTACAACTCTTGATCAATGTTTCCTTTTGGGTCTCTCTTGAAGTTTTGTCCAGACCTTGTTCTGTATCTTGGAGGGATTGTTCTGCCAGGAATAACACTGTGTCCTTGCACCCCAGAAGCCAGGCCAGCATCTGTTCCATACAGCAGCTCTCGCCACAATAGAAAACACACACATTGATGTTGGAAGGTCCTGCATATAGTAAAGCCAGCACAGGAAGGATATATGTCAAACAATGAACCCAACAGTCTTGAGTTATTCACTTGAAACTCATTAATCATATCCAGTGTTCCATAGATCTTTACTTTGATTGGTTATTGGCCTTTCTCGTAAGGCTGCAGAGGATTTTAATAGTTAATAATGGTAAAAAAGTGGCTGATTAAGTATTCATATTTCATGAAAATTGCTACACAAGCCGACCTAATTGCTTTCTGGAGGACACTGAATTAGGAAACCTTTTAGCCACGACAGCTCGGCACAGTAAGTTTAATATTACTGCGAGCAATTGAATATATGTCTGATTAATCAAGGGAAATTTAGCAAGGATAGTGCATATATTTAAAATGTAATTTCTCTGTATATCTTGCATTTAATTAGCTGATAAAGTTGTCCATTTGGTTTCTTGATTTATATGTAACTGTTTACAGGCTTTAGGAAATAACTAGATCATAGTAATGATTTTTCTCAGGAAGCAGGATTAAGAAAAGGTACTTTTGTTGCAGAACAAGTTTCTTTTTGCACTAAATTAAAAAAAACAACAACTAACAGTTGGATTGTGATTGGCTGCTATGGAAACACAGACATGGTTAATAGACATGTGTCTCATAACTAAACATGTAGGAGATTTTTGCCCACACAATCATTTCAACCTAACACTGAAGTCCAGCCAGGTATAAAAAAATACTAATTTTTATTATTATTATTATTTACAGTGCCAACAGTTTGGGCAGCTTTACAAAATAAAGGGATACAGTGCAGTTACAATACATTTCAAGACACGGGGGCTAGGAAAGTGTTGTTCGTGATAACGTCAAATCTGAAATGATTGCAGTTATTTATTAATTGAGTATAAATAAAAGTTTAAGTACATGAATATGACTTGATTTTAGCCCCTTGTAATCCTCTGTACAAGAGCACTTGTGAGACTCTGAGAACGACAGGGGAAGTATCTGGGACCAATAAGGTGTCCAGCAAGGAACATGCTGGGAAGAGGAGTGAAGAAAAACATGTGCTTATCAGTCACCTTTATTGTCCCCCCTGTGCACCCTCGTGGTTCTGAGACAGTTGCATGGTTAGCTGTCATTCTAATAATATGAGCACCATGACAGCCAACATGTTCATCTCTCTTTCTCTGTGGGCAGGGTGTGCGCAAAGAAAGAGACAACGAGTTAGAAAGCATTACAGTGTGTGAAAAAGCCAACTAAGTAAAAAAAAAAAATAACATGTGATTAACTTCAAACTGATATAGGTCAATGATGCACATTATTACAATTTAAGCTGTTGGTGGACTGGTGCTCTGGTGGACTGGTGCTCTAGTAGCCCTTGGGCAAGGCTCCATGTGGCAGCCCTGGTTGCAATGTCTTCTTCTGAGTCATTATGGTGTCTGACTCTGAACTGCTCATCAAGAAATTGCATTCAGAATTCAAGCTCAATTACTTGTGAGTCTGTTGGTGGGACCACTGACCCAGTAGGCTTTTGGCAAAGGCCGCTTGTGCCTCTATATTAAAACAGCCCTGGTTGCAATTCCATCCATTGGGTAGATCACACAGCAATGGTGGGTCTCTGGATTCAATGGTAAAAACCTTCAGTATAATTAACAGGAACCAGCTTAGAAATTAGGTTCATGTCTGTCGCAGTTTTCATCCATTTGACTCCATTAGCAACCTTTAGATAACGGTGTTAGATAACAGATATAAGATGTCATGTTGGCACTGCCCAGGACAAGCTGTTTGCTCCATTTTTATCACTTATTTGTGTTTTCTGCAGGATTTACAGATCATCAGTACAAATGAAAACCAGGTGTTCATTGCTGTCCAGGAATGGTATCAAACGGACACTTACAATTTGTACCAGTCAGACCCTCAAGGAGTCTATTACTCCATCATTCTGGAGAATGTGAGAAGCACAAAACAGCCAGAGGAGAACGTCTTGATCGACATTCTGGAGGTGAGTCAAAAATACAGCACGGGACAAACAGCAGCTCTCATCATCATGTATGGTTACAATGGAATTATCACATTGATTAGAAAAATCAGCAATAAATACCACTGAATAAAAGCAGTGAATATAGAATTGCTGTCTTATATACAGTGCTGTAAATACTATGAATCCTTAAAGCATTCCTTGTGCCATAATAACAATAACCATTGTTAGCAATGTTTACTCATGCACAGAGATATGGTTGAATGTACCTTTCATGACACGACCAATTCCTACTCCTGGCTCTGTCTTACTAGAGGTACATGAAGGGCATCTGAGAGAGAAAATGGTGCTGGTATTGTTTTATATAATTTACTTAGTGTGGAAGATGACAAAATGTGTCAGGTGTGTGAAAATAAAGAATCGCCCTCTGTCTGTAAATAAATGGATGTACCACATTTGGCTGTAATAATGTCAGCCATGTTAACAACCAAGTTTATATTAACTTATATTCTCTTTAGCACCAGACAGATGCTTTAGGAGCTTCAAAGGGGAGGAGAAGAAGCAGCATAAGTTGAAGCCAGACAGGTTGTTGCTAGAGATGTTGCTGCTTGTGATTTGTTGACATTGCCAGCAGCAAAATCTATAAGAAGATCTGTGGCTGAGGAAGCCAGACATCACTCCCATTGCTAGTGATTGTCATACAGCAGTGTTCAGGCCAGCGACAAAGCAACATCTTGCTGCAACTAGCTACAGAGGGAGCAATGCCATTCCCCCCCCCGGACGGACCCGTCGCTCCGTGGACAGCCGCTCCCCCGGGCTTACAGCCTCACCGCAAAACAACGCCGCCCGCAGTCTGCACACGCCGTCCACTCCAGGCCGACGTCCGCGTCATCGCATCCAGGTCAATAACCCTCGCGGTGCCACCCTCAGCAAATCTGCCGCTCCAGGCAAACGCCTTGTTTGCCTCGCGGCAGATACACCCCTGCCTGCCACTGCGGCAGAATAGCCAGTTGGATATCAGCACTAGTGCCAGTGGTTGCTGTGCTCTTTCACACCACCCTTTTCAGTTACAAAGAAAATATTGCAATCGCCATAGTCCCTTTAGAACAATTGGACTAGTTTATATTGACCATAGGAAAAGTGATCCTGTTCTGTTGCTTTGTATTCCCAGTTAGACAAAGTTATTCTGGAGCTTCAGAGTACCGACCTGAGAACTAAAATAAACAGTTGCTGGACCCTTGTTCGTAAGCTAATAAAAGTGTATTGAAAGCCTAAACTTTAGAGTTAGAACCTTTGTCAGGTTTGTAATGCTACAGACAAATCCAGCCAGCACCTTAGGAAGTACAGGGCTACCAGTAAAACTGTATTATAACTTATCAAATGGAAAAAGCCAGCACCCCAGTTGTTTACTGAAGGCAAACATATTGAAGGCACACTTATTGAGTACAGATGACGAGGAAAATGCCAAATATCCTGTTCCTCTTTTTCTTACTTCTTGGCACTTTTTCTTTGTCACCTGTCTTGTTGAGCCTTCAAAAAAACAACTGGGGCTCACTATGGGTGCAGGTGTGGGCCACCTCTGGGGAGAAATACCCTCTCTATTTTTCTTGGCAGCCATTGGTGCCAGGAAAGAGAGTAATGGGAAATAATTAAAAAAAAAAATTTGACACTGGAACAGGAGTAGAGGGGAATCCTTCCTATGGGAGCACCTGTGGTGGTGACAACAGCCAAACAGGACATTTCCTCTCACTTTGCATTGTATCTGTGGGATATTGGAAGTAAAGGGATATTGTTCCCATACTTCTTTTACTTCCTATACTTCCTATGCTTTAATAGCAGTTATTGAGTAGTCATTGATGAGCCCCTTCTGAAAATGCTATTTCCTTGACCTGAAATAAGTATGGAGCCAGTTAAGTCTGAAAGTTAAACCAAACTCAGGAGTGTAATCTAAAAAATGCAATCAAGTACCCTAACTATTAGCAAAACTGCAGCTTATTTGTGTATCACTTGGCTATGGATCCTCAAATCTCTGAATTCCTGCTGACACTGTCCTTCCTTCTGGAGGGTGGCTACTTCTGTTCCACATGATCCCTGTGTGTGTTGTAAAGTAGTCACCGCTTCAAGCTCACTCCTATGATGGACTACAATCTCTTGTTTAGTTTAGTCATTTGTATTGAGATTGTAGTCCATGGAGGGAACAAGCTTGGAGAGGTGGCTACTTTACAACACACACACAGGGGCCATGTGGAACAGAAGTAGCCACCTTCCAGGAGGAAGGAGAGTGTCAGCACCAATTCAGAGATGATTTGAGGATCTACAGCTGAGGGATACACAACTAAGACATTTTTGTTTATAGTTAGGGTACTTGAATGCATTTCTACAATTGCGTTACCATGACAGCCAACTGCGTAGCAGTTTCAGAAGGACCGGTCAGCTGTCCCGGTGATGTATTAAATATGGAAAGTCTCTGTTTTTATTCAGATAACCCCTTTTCCCCCCACTAAGTACTGTTACTGGAGAATAATCAAAATGGACCCTTAATTTTGACACTGTGTATCAATGTTTAATAACACAGCCTTTGTCTTTAGAAGTATCAAAAAAAATTAAGCAGCTGTCTGGCAATTTGTAAAAACTCACTCAGCTTGGATTACCCCTTTGCCAAACAACTACATAAAAATCTCCACAATGAAAAAGGGGATTATAAAGTGCATCTGTGCATGACAAGCCTCCTGGAGCTGAAGCCTGTATTGATCTTGCAGAATATGATCCCAGTTATGAGAAGTACTTGTAATAAAATTAATGACCCGGGAAGAAAAAATACCAATGTGGTGAATTGCTATAGAGCCAGTTTAAGATTAGTTTAGATGAATTTAACAGTCCATTGTTTGTGTTACGGGTTGTCTTCTGTTTACAATGGGCGCCAGTTCACTATGGAGCGAAGCTCGGGTAATACAGCTGAGAACGAGCAAAATTCAGATGGACATAAAAATATGCTTCATTTGCAAGCTGCAAATATATAATGTACTTGTAAGACATTGGATGTGATTTACTAAGGGATATATGTATATGATCATATACAGATGCTTCACAAATATACAACTGATGCATGTGATTGCACAAGTGTGTGTGTGTGTGTGCACAGGTTATATCAAACATATGGGGGATTTATCAAAAGTGTGCTTTTCTATGTAATGTACACTCCAGCATCCGAACGTACACCAGTCAAGACGCAGCATCTCTATGCTTTTGTTTTTATCTATGTAAGCGATGTTAGAATACCATATAGGAACAAAACTGCATCAGGTGTGCAAGGCTATATTTAAAGCATAATGTGCATTTTTAATATTTTTTTGCATTGGAGCCTATAAAGCATTGCAACCATGGTCAATGGATTGCAGAAGCAATGTTTAGGCTCCTACATATTATTCCTCCAGCTCCAGGTCCGTATGGAGCTACCAAACTTTGGTTATGGAACTGGATGATATTGTTAATGATATAATCAATAATCAATGACGTTAGTAATGAGCTACAAGTGCAGTGGCATCACCACACTTGTACTCCATTGGAAATTATGAGTTTCTCTGCCACAGTGGCAGACAGGAGCTGTAAATTGATCTGTGAATGAATGACGTGACTGTGTGGGTGGAGCCATCATGCATGAATTAAAAAAACACAGAAGCCTGCAGGTGGAAAAGAACCCCGCAATTAAGGTAAGGTTTGAGGGATGGGGGGTTGCATAATGGCACCATGTTCCATGTTACACCCTAAAGAGGAACTTTACCCACCAATTTAATGTCTACCACAATAGTTACCCTTAAGGCATGCCAACTGTCAAGGTTGCCAGGATGCATATTTTAGAACGAACGAAAAAGATGCCTTATCGCACTCCCAAAATTGGATGACTGCGGATGGCGCCGCCACTCAGTACAAAAATAGATAGATGTCACCAGGACACCAACAATATTATAGTCCAAAAAGGTCATTTATTGGAACGTCATGTCACCAACACTAGCGCTTTCGGGGCCACGCTGGGTCCCCTTCATCAGGCTCAGCAATGACACTGGGTTCTGACGAAAGGGGCGTGGCTCCTTAAACGCTTCAACCCGTGGAAGACCTACAGTCAAAAGGCTCTAGTGCAGCACTAACGTGATTTGAATTACAACTCTGTGATTTTGTATTGCCTTTTAATTCTACACGCCTGAATTTTAAAGTCGTTTGTAAGTATAATTTCAGCTGTTATTTGCTTCTGATTAAAACTAACTTGTTTTTTCGTTCCAAAGAGTTCTTAGCAGCCTGGGATGCTTTGGCCAGAAAGGGGGCAGCAGACTCAATGAGATGCCGTCTGAGGCAGCCGCTTCTGGCTCGCTCATTATAGAGATGTCACTGGGAGTAGGGAAGGGTTAGACCCTTTGTTTTCATTGCCACGTGTGCCTTGTTAGACAGATTTTTATCCCCCCTCTTTTTCCTGATGAGCATTGTCAGAAGTACAGAATGTGATCCAAAAATGTATAGCTGTCAGCAGGACAGGATAGAGGACGATGGGAAATGTTTCAATGGGGGTTGCCAATGCCAACTGTCTGAGAGGAGACTTTCCTTCACTGTCTGTCTCCAATGGTAAAAAAAACTGATGGGAGTTTGAACCATTACTCACACTATATAAAGCTAAAACGTTTTGGCTTCAGATACCCTTTAAACATCACAAAGGTAGACTCAAAGTTATTGGTTTGAAAAATCTTCTGCCTCTCAGTAACAGATACACAAGTGACTCGATCCACAATGGGCTGCCACTGCAGCATGCAGAAAGCTGGTATTTCTATTCCACCTGATAATATGACCAAATGCACAAAATACACAGACTGACTCCATTCACAGCACAGATGTTTGTAATATACATTAGGCTAATATCTTGCTGTAATGATGATAATTGCTCTCAATTTCATCCGGCCATATGGGCACGTGGTATGCATCAGAGGGTATAATTGAACACTATGGCTAATGTACAGAGCAATATAATGCTCTGGTAT